AGAGCAAAGAACGAGACGTTAGTTGTCCTGACGGAGCGGACGCGGAGTAACGGACGGTTTGAGGTCACCTGCAAGCGGAGAGAACCGGACCAGCAGCCAACGCGTTTCTGTAACTCGACCTCGAGCTGAATGTGCAAATAAAACGAGCAGCGCCGTAAAAGCAGAGTGTTGATGAACGAAGGTCGGTCGCTGTTCTTCTGGTGAAGTGACATGTGGTCACAATGCAGGCAGACAGAGACACAGAGACACAGACGTGCTGAAGGCAGTGAGGACAGGGACATGCTGTGGACGTGCACGTGGAATATAACGCAGCTTAGTGTTGCACACAGACGGAGGTTCTAAGTAGCTACGTAATCCTTAGACATCTTCAATCAGTGTGACAAATAAAGATGTCTGTTATTACCTCCTCAACGCTTCCAGTTTAAACGTCACGATGAATCACGTTGTGAATCATTTCTCCTCATTGAAGGTTTGTTTGCATCTTACATGAAATGAACATAACCAGATTTATACACCAGTGGTTGAAAACGAACCCTAAACATGAAACACTTAATAATCTTTAATACAGTAAATAAAGAGTTTAATATAATTAGATACATGGTTTAACTACACGTATTCTGCCACCTGAGATGAGACGAGAACACGTTTACTCACTGAAGCAACAGCAATGAATATCAGAGACAACTTTCATTAAACTATGTTCATATTATATTATTAGCGTTTGATCATTTCCAGAGGAGTTTCTGTTAGAACGCTGCAGCTTTTCCTCACACGGGATCATTTATCTCTCTAACGTTCTCCGGCCGCATGTCACCAACCTCACACGCTGACGTGAACTCAGCAAATGGTGGAATGAATGGTGGTTTTCTTTGTAACGTCGGGGACGCAGAGCCCTTTGGCAAGGCAGCAGTTTGTAGAGCTGTGAGCAAAGTTCCCCTGTTTCCCGACACAAACCTCTTAGAACATCAGAGAGGAATCCCACAGGAATGCAGGTGACTGATGTAGAAATCATATTTTATACATTGTTAGTTATACATTGATAGAAAAGCCTTTCACACAGGAGGCCTCCACCTCGGTCAGAGCGGGTGGAGGAGGCCCTCCACCTGTTTTTCGGGCGTCTGCCTTCTCTCTGTTGGCTGAGCAGAACTCAATGTTTCTTTGTGTTTTAATGAGTATTTTAATGAGTGGAGGCTACAGCGTCACATGTTAAATGACAGGAGACACTTAGACACATTTTTATTTTATACCTACGTGGGGTATTAAGTGAAAAGACGTAAAAACAACATTTTATTAGGGGTTTAATTTACTATTTCAAGTAGCCACTGAGTTACTTTGTTTAATAGCCTAAGTCCAATATCTGCCACACCTTTTTGATTTATGTTTATAAATTTCATTTTTAGCTGCTTCCAGGTCCTTTTTTCCCCTGTTGGATTGCACCTAAATGAAAATGTGATAAGTGTGCTGTGTGTCGTTCCGTGTCCTCAGGTCTGCCTGGTAACCGATGACTCATCAGCAGCTCTGCTTCCCATTGGCTGCTGAGGAGGAAGTGAAAGTGAAGAGCGGGACTTTCCAGCACGCTGCTGCGTTCAGGCGCTGCAGGGAACCTGAGCGTCTTGTATCTGTGGTATTGGGAGGTCCTGGCTGCTCTGAGGCCCCTGAAGGCCTCCAGCGGTCCGACTGGTTCTGGTGGTGAACAGAACGAGGAAACTGGAACTTTTAACCTGTTTTCACATTAAAAAGTGAAAAGTGTTTCTCGTGTTTCACAGCTTCTCTTTCTGTGAAGAGTCGCTTTCATCACGTTACAAAATCACAGCTTCTACTTTAATCCTCCATCCATTCAGGGTCGGGGGGGCAGCAGGTTCCAGATGCTTCTGGAGGGTCCTGAGGCCTTCGATGCTTCCTAGTTCCCTCAGATGACTCCTTGGACCGAAGGAGGAGCGTCTCAACTTCACGTCTTCTGTATTCATTCCTTCTAAACAATCATCTCGTGAATCTTAATGTTGAAGATGAATCTTTAGTTTAACATCTGTATTTAAAGGCTTTATTCTGAAAAGCCTCTATGAACACAGTATTGATTATTGATTGAGTGGCGTCCGTCTGTCCTCATGTCTGGATATCAGAAACCATGTGAGCAGCAGTGTTTCTCTACCTGGACACTGATGACATCACGCCAGCTCTGCTCTCTCATTGGCTGCTGAGGCAACGAGCTCCGCTGCTGCTGCAGTTTCTCTCAGTTCTCTTCAGAAGGTTCAGAGTCTCAGTCTGGTTCTGGTCCACAGAGAGCTGATGAAGACCAAGACGATGATGAAGATGATGGTCGTCCTCGTCCTCTCTGGTGTCTTCTGTGTCTCAGCCGACGGTGAGTTTCTGTCTCACTTTTAAACTCATGTTTCAGTTCTGATACAAATAAACAGCCTCTTTGTTTACTAACAGACTGAACAACAAACAAACAAACCTTGTGTTTTCTCCTCAGGTCCACATAAGGACATTGCTATTGATGGCTGTTCTGACTCTGATGGAGAGAAGATGTACGGTCTGGATGGAGAAGAGGTCTGGTACGCAGACTTCAAACACGGCAAAGGAGTCAAACCTCAGCCCAGTTTCGTGGATCCAATAGACTACCCAGCAGGAGCTTATGAACTAGCTGTGGCTAATCAACAGACCTGCAGAAATGACCTGAAAACTGATCTGGAAGCTTACAAGGACGTCCCACTGGAGAAAGGTAAAGACACTTCATACTTATTATACTTTGTATACACATATATACTTGTATACTTATATATACATGTACTATTTTACTGTTTCATTAAAGTGTTTTAACGTCTGACTTTCTGTTATTAAACAGTTTTATGTGACATGAAGAAAAAACAGCATCATGAAATCATTTGATTGTGTTTACTTGTTTGTTCTTTTAGCTGCTGGAATTTATCTTCTGTATTTACACTTTAAATCAAACTTTATTTAAGATATTTATTGTTGACTTTAGAGGTAAACAACAACAACAAGTCAACACCTACAGATAAACACCAGTCTGAAGAACAACAAACAAACAGTTTGTTTACTCACAAACTCCAGATGTTGACGTAGGTTTCAGGAGGAGGACTCTGCTCCTTCAGGTCTCTGGGGAACCAGGTGGGTGGAGGTCAGGAGAACGTGGACAACAGGGTTCATCTGAGGCACCAAACCAGAAGCCAGAATGAATCCTGAAGGTCAAACTGGTTCTTCATGAGAGGGATTCTAATAAGAGCTTCTCTCTCCTCAGATCCTCCTTCCAGTCACATGATCTACCCCAAAGACGGCGTGGAACTGGGAGAGAAGAACTCGCTCATCTGTCATGTGACTGGTTTCTATCCTGCTCCAGTGACGTTCTCCTGGACCAAGAACCAGGAGAACGTCACTGAAGGATCCAGCAGGAACGTTCCCTACCCCAACAACGACGGAACCTTCAACCAGTTCTCCACCCTTGAGTTCACCCCAAAGCTGGGAGACATCTACAGCTGCATGGTGGAACATCTGGCCCTGGACCATCCACTGGTCAAGTTCTATGGTGAGACACAACAAACAACTCACTTGTGTCTCCAGATGTGGAGGCTGAGCTTCATGTCTCCAGATGTGGAGCTGAAGGTGTCTTTCTGTCTCCAGATGTGCAGGTGTCTCAGCCCAGCGTTGGACCAGCGGTCTTCTGTGGAGTCGGTCTGACTGTTGGTCTCCTCGGCGTCGCTGCTGGAACCTTCTTCCTCATCAAAGGAAACGAGTGCAGCTGATTGGTTAATGATCTTCATCATGTAGGAGTCTCATCTTCATCATCTTCATCATCTAATCCAGTCTAATTAATGTTGTTAATTATCTCTGAATCTCATTCATTTATTGAATTAATCTTCTGCTCTTATTTTGAAATAACGATGACGGCGTCGAGATGATCTCATCTTGTTTTCTCTCATCTGTTTCTTTTAATAATAAATTCTAAAATAAGAAGTCAGACCCGTTGACCTTTGACCTCTGCTTGTGTCTCAGCAGCACTTTTAACGGTTTGAAGAACACGACGTGTTTAAAGTATAAGAACTGAATTCAGAATGAATCTTGTAAACATGTTTGTCTGTAAGAAGCTCAGTGGCTTTTATTCATTTATGGAAAAATGTTTGTTTTCAAGTAATTATGATTAAAAATCAATAAACTGACTCAGCTGTTTATTAAATGTTTCCTTTTATTCATCTTCAGTATTTGTACGACTGACTCAACTTGAACCATTTAGCTTGGAGACAAGTTATGCTAAGCTAAGCTACGCTACTAAAATAAAAGCTTTTTGCTAAATGAACTGTTGCTTTATTATTATTAAATGAAAATAAGTATAACTTTGTGTGTAATGTGAGATAACTGTAGATGTTATTGTTGCATCAGGAAGTTTAGAGCTGATTTTAAATCCAACATATTATTGTTATTATGAGAAAAAGACTCTGCAGGACTCTGAATAAAGGCCATTTCAACACATGTTCATTGAGACTCAGTAACAACATCATTTTAGAAATGTTGATTTCACTGAATAATAATAAATATATGTGTAATAACAGTAAATGATTCATGATAAATGATCAATAACGACTCGATTCAGGTTAAAGGTTTTTAGTGTCATTGTCGTCAGACAGTATGTGACAAAGTACAAGATAAAGACACATTGTTAGATACATGAATCATAAATGACCACATCTACAAACAACACATGAAACGTAACAATATTTAATTGTGGTAAAAATAATAACAATAATAATGATCATAATAAAAATGTTAATACAACAGTGTTAATCTGGCTGTTAATAATAATACAAACCAATACATAATGATCATAATATCCTTATCACTGTATTAATAAAGTTTTATGGTGTCCTCAACAGTAATACTTGTATACTTGTATACTATTAGTACAATAGCACGTAGCGCGCTGGCGCTCACTCTGCTGATGTTGTCTGCCTGGTAACAGGTGATGACGTCGCTGACGTGGGTCACGTGACCTCCGCTCCGCTTTTTACAGCCGCTCTCAGCGCGTCTTTGTCACTTTGTCCGGTGAACACAGAGACATGGCTCCATCCTTCATCAGCGTCTCCCTCCTCTTCATCGGCCTCCACGCAGCAGGTAGGATCAATACTCATCAACACTGATCAATAAAGTGATCAATGCACCGCCTGTTTGTTTATAGACTGATCAGTAATCAATAACAGTGATCACTGATCCTATCTGTTCTTCAGATGGATTCATGGAGTTTAGGACGGATGAATGTGTCTTTAACTCCACGGAGCTGAAGGACATCGAGTTCATCAGGTCTTCTTACTACAACAAGAAAGAAGACACGAGGTTCAGCAGCTCAGTGGGGAAGTTTGTCGGCTTCACTGAACAAGGAGTGAAGTACGCTGCTAACTGGAACAAAGACGCTTCATATCTGAGTGCTATGAGAGCTCAGAAGGAGGTTTACTGTCTGAACAACGTCCAGATCAAATATGACAATGCTCTGACTAAGTCAGGTGAGTCAGAGCGACATTATTATTATCATCGTTATTATTATCACATTATTGTTGGAATGCATTAGATGCATTCCAAGTATTGTTCTTCGAATCTTTATTTCCGACTTATTCTTCTATTTCTTCCGTGGCACCTTTCAACTCCTTCACACTTTCAGCTATTAAAATCCTTCAAATATTAAAATGTTCAGCTTCTTTCCGGCTTCCGGGCTATGACTTTTCAGCTTTCTACCTCTTAAGCTTGAATTTATATAAATCAATAATCATTAATATTTTAACATGGTTTTCAAATGGAGATTGTTTTCAAATCCTCCTTAAACTTCTTCAACTTCTTCAACTTTCAGATTTTTCAGCTTCGCCAATCTTTCAGCTACAGACACCATTTCAACTCTCAAATGTTGACACAAGTCTCAACTATTTTATGAAAGAAACTGCTTCTTGATATCTATTGTACTTTTTTCATAATCACTGATTATGTTTCACTAGTTCTTCGCTCCGTTTCTGACTTTTACATGAGTGTGTATTGCGTCTGCTAGAGTGGAGAGCTCGAGGCTAGAGTGTGGGGCATCGCAGGAATCTGGTTAAAAAAATATGGAACTTTTGTCCTTGCAGCCAAAGTATACACTCTAGAGGCTTCATTTCTTCAGATTAATGAGGGTATGGTTGTGCTGATTGGATTAATGTGTTCATGGAATCCCAGAGTTCTTTAGTTTTGGCGCAAGGTGTGTTTGAGTGACACAACCTCTGCCAAAAGCCCCATAGGCTCCAATACAAATCTGCCGACATATTTCTCACAAAAATCCAGAAGGTACACGTTTTGTCAACGGCCATAGGAGCCGTATTTATTACCGGACAGACATAAAAACACATCCACGCGTTCGGTAGAGTCTTGGGTCTCATACAAACGCCGTATTTTTTAGATAGCTGTTATAGTTTTGCGCTGGTTCCCATTTGTTTGAGGTGTGGATTCTGTGTAACTTGCTGCCATGTCTCCCCTTTTGCAGCAGCTCGTTAATGAGCACAGGTGCGGCGTTGTCGTGGTTACTCGCTCACACGCTGCAGGATCTGTCTGTGGCTCACAGCTGCTCCTTGTGACCTGATTAGTGGAGTCACATGACGCAGCTATGCTTTCTGTCAACAGACCAATATGATAAAGACACTCGCCCCCCCTCCCCCCTCCACCCTGACCTCTTCTCACTGTTAATCACTCTCAGTCAGTCAGTATGTCTATTTCTCCTCCTCTCTCTCTCCCTCTATCTCTTCCTCACCACCCCTCCCTTCCTCACCCTCTCACCCTCCCTCCCTCTATCTACTCCCCCCCACCCCACCCAATCCAATAATTTCAAAATAAAAGCCCCATGGAGGGAATTTTTACTGTAATGTCTGTGATGAGGCCTATTAATTAAAAACTTTTAAGTGTGAATAACAAACATTCTGTCTCCCACTACGAATATTACTCGTACTTCTAGTACTACAACTGATACTTCTACTACCATACTACTAGTATTTCTACTGCTATTAATACTACAACTACTACTAATGTTATTACAAATACTACTATGGCTAATAGTATTCCAGCTGTTTCTACTGCTATTGATACTAAACCTACTATTACTGCTTATACTACTAATACCACAATTATAACTAATACTACTACTAATATTACTACAAACAATTTTAAACAAATTTAAGCTCCTGCAACTTCTGTTTTTAGAAAATCTATTGAAATTCAGCTTCCCCACTTCCTGTATTTTCAGCAGTTCTTTAAAATAATTTCAGCTATTCTTATGCCTCTATCAACAGCAATTTTTTAATATTCATTTCTGAATTTTTTGCAATATTTCAAATTTATTTCAGCTGTTTTCATTTCTGCTTTTTCAGCAAATCTATTGATTCCTTTCAGCTTCTCCCATTTCTGTATTTTCAGCAATTTCAAATTCATTTCAGCTTTTCAGCAAATGTATTCAAATTCCCTTCAACTTTCTGTATTTTCAGCTATTTTCAAATATTCAGTGCAGCTTTCAGCTTTTTGCATTCCAACGCATTTTCAGCAGGAAATGCCTTTTCTAGTTATAAATGTCATTACATTATTATCACATATTGATCAAATAACATGAACTAAACGCTGACGTCAGACTGAAGTCTTTCTCCACCTTGTGGTGAAGTTGTGCTACTACAGCTCCGACTAATATTACTACTTATTCATGTGCTCATCACTCATCACCTCATCGGACCCGAGAATCACTTCTTCATCTTCTCATGAACATTTTATATCAAATCAATCCATTAAATCGATCCAATCAGGAATATTACAACTTAAATAAATAAAGTCTGCTGTATTTAACTTCAAATCTGAGCTTCAACTTTGTAAAATAGTTTCTAATAGTTTATAATAGTTAATATAATCAAATCAAAGAGAAAATCACCCGGTAGTTTATTCTAAAGTAATGATCATTTATTAGTAAATCCAACTAGAACCTGATACACATCTTCTGTAATAAATGATTCACGTTGTTATACATATTTTATATAGTTTACTCGTGTGGTTTAATATGTAACACATTTATAAATAATATAATGATGTTGTTTTTATAATTTAATTATATGATCAAATATTAAACAGAAGAAACACTTTGAATTCAAGTATCAAGTATTTATGGACACTTTATGGATATTATTGAGTAGAACATTAATGTTCTAGTACCTCTTTTATATTACCAACAAACACCTTTTACAGTTTGTGAGAAGCTTTTATACTCAATGGGAACCTTTTAGAACCTGTAGAACCTTTTAGAACCTGTAGAACCTGTAGAACCTTTTAGAACCTCTGAGAACCTGTAGAACCTGTCGAACCTTTTAGAACCTGTAGAACCTTGTAGAACCTGTAGAACCCGTAGAACCTTTTAGAATCTGTAGAACCTGTAGAACCTTGTAGAACCTGTAGAACCTTTTAGAACCTTGTAGAACCTTTTAGAACCTGTAGAACCTTTCAGAACCTGTAGAACTTGTAGAACCTTTTAGAACCTGTAGAACCTTGTAGAACCTGTAGAACCTTTTAGAACCTGTAGAACCTTGTAGAACCTGTAGAACCTTTTAGAACCCTGTAGAACCTCTGTGGGACAGTTCTCTACCAGCGGCGTGCGACGTAGTTCCATGAGTTTCCTCTTTGATGTCAGAGTGTTTTTATCTGTGAGTACATGACTGGTACTTGTACTGCAGCTGGTACTACTGCTACTACCTTAAGTACTCCTAGTACTAATACTCGTACCTGTGAGCTCATAGAACAAACCCTCACCATGTCATATATTGTCTCCAGCTGAGCCCTACGTCAGGCTGCACTCTGAGACGCCCCCTGGTGGTGGACCTTTGTCCATGTTGGTCTGCAGCGTCTATGACTTCTACCCCAAGAAGATCATCGTGAGGTGGACCAGAGACGGACGGCCAGAGACCACCGGGGTCACTTCTACCGACGAGCTGGCAGACGGGGATTGGTACTACCAGACCCACTCCCACCTGGAGTACACGCCCAGGTGAGTCCACCTCCACCTCCAGGTGGTGCAGGTCCAGCCAGCTTCAGCTCCGATAAGTCCAGTTAGCTCAGGTCCAGGTGGTCCAGGTGGTCCAGGTGGTCCAGGTTGATGAGGACATCCACTGATGTGCTGGTTTGTGTGTCAGCAGGTCTGGAGAGAAGATCTCGTGTGTGGTGGAGCACATCAGTCTGAGTAAACCTCTGGTTACCGACTGGAGTAAGTACCTGTCTGTCTGCACACCGGTCTGCCTGCCTCTCCACCTGTCTCTCTGCTAACCCGTCCCCCTGTCTGTCCTCAGACCCGTCCATGCCCGAGTCTGAGAGGAACAAGATCGCCATCGGAGCCTCAGGACTGATCCTGGGTCTGACTTTGTCTCTGGCTGGATTCATCTACTACAAGAGGAAAGCCAGAGGTCAGAACACACCGATGTCCTCTGATGGGTCAGATTGGTCCAGAATAAGAGGAGACCTTCAGCAGGTCCACCAGAGTCTGGACCTGGTTCACCTGCTCCCTCTGACACCTGTCTGGTGTTTCAGACCAGTTCAGTCTGGTTTCAATGGTCCGGTATCTGCATTTAATGCTGATCTGTTCTTCTCTTTAAACCAGGACGGATCCTGGTTCCCAGTCACTGAACCGGTCCTGGTCTTGGTTCTGGTTCCTGCTGCTCGTCAGATGGAAGGAAAAGCCGGACTGGATCAGATGTGGATGGGTGCTGGATCAGGTTCTGGTGCATCACAGCTGGATGTGGACTCTGCTTCTTCTACGTGTGACTCACAGCTTTTCTGTGTGAAATCAACATAAACGACTCGATTAGTTGAAATGAGACGTGATCAGTTATCTGAATGATTTGGGGCTCGTTGGTTCTGTGATTCTTACATTTATATTTTCTTACTGCAGTGAAACGTGTTACAAACACAATAAACATCAGACAACTGGGTTTCTGTCAGAGTATTTTTACTGTTTAGTAGAAGTACTTCTACTGGAACAGCTGTTCTTAAATACTATTAGAATTAGTACACATCTACTTGTGTTAAATAAGTATTTTTTCTATTTAGTAGAAGTACTTATACATCAACATAGATGCACTTTGTTGTAGAAGAACAACCAGTTTACCATAAACATTTTCTGGGCCTTTTTTTTTAGCAAAGACCAAATTACATTTTATGTATATGTCTGTTCTACATATTCATTACTTCATTAAAAGATCCTCCCATATTTCAACTCTCTAATCTGTATTTTTAAATGTTGCTTAAATGTAAATTCATTATGAAATTGAAATTGTTCCACATAATCTCATTAATTTAGTAATTTCATTTATTTGAACAGATGTTTGATTTTTAGTGCTGAGCAACAATTACAATATGTAATCGTGATTAATTAACAAAATTCAATAATGAATTCAAAAGTACTGCACTTTTATTTTAAATGTACTATTATATGAACAAAAGTACAATTACATTTGGTTTGCAAACACTTGACATTTAACCTTTTTTTCTGAACCAGGTACCAGCAGAAATATGTCTTTTATTATTATTAATAATAATATTATATTCTTTATGTTATCAGGGAGCAGCATATTCTGTGTTCAGTAGTGTTGGTACATTGATACTTATTGATGTATATAAGAAGCAGTTCTGTACAGGGGCACTTTTGCACTGTACCATCGACTCGTACTAATTTTTATTTTTTGGAGGACCTGGAGGAGAACTACGCGTGAAGAGTTCTGATGAAGAGCAGCTTGTTCTCACGTCTGGTGTTTATTTAAAACAACGTAGTGGTTATCAATACGTTCTGTTATCATTACGTTCTTTTATCAATAAGTTCTGTTATCAATAAGTTCTGGTATCAATACGTCCTGGTATCAATAACTCAATAACTAATGAAAAGGGTCACCTAAGAGTTTTCTACCTTTTTCCATTTCTCCTGTGAGCTTGAAGACGAGTTCTTGACCCGCCCCCAAAGGTGACAGGTGAGCTCAGAGGGGAAAATATGAAGCGGTGACTTTTGGCTCCAAAACTCAATGGAATCGTGAAAAAAGTAATAAATCAGAGAAACGTAAAGACTGGAAGGGAGGGACAGTAAAACGTGACTTTAGTCTGACGAGATGGACGAGACGAACAGGGACAATAAAACGTGACTTTAGTCTGACGAGATGGACGAGACAAACAGGGACAATAAGACGTCTTTGTTACAGAGCTCCAGACCAGTTAATTAACTGGGTTTGCTATTTATTTATGATTATTTTTATAGTATCAACGCTTCTTCTTCTTTCCCGTTAATCATCTCTGGGCCCTCAGATTGGTCTGGCGACCCCCTGGAGGCCCCGGCCCCCATGTTGGGAACCTCTGACCGTCCACGAAGAGAGACGAGCAGCAGCTCGCATCAATAACCAGTGATGTCACATGGGCCGGGTTCCAGTCACGTGTCATGCGTGTGTGACACGAGGACACTGTGTGTGTGTGTGTGTGTGTGTGTGTGTGTGTGTGTGTGTGTGTGTGTGCTTCTTCTTCTTCTTCTCTTTCCAGGGTAAAAGGAACCACAGGAAGGTGAAAAGTCAACAAAATAAAAGCTCCTTTATCTTTAAAATGCAGTTACTACTGAATGTTCAACACTTTAATGTGTTTTACTACATACGGCGTCTTCTGAACTGATTAACAGTTGTATTCTGTCATAGTTCCTCTAGTAGTACTACTAGTAGTACCTCTTAGTAGTAATACTCGGGGACTAGTCGTACTAGTAGTAATATGAACAGATTCTGAATAAAAGGACCTGTTGGTTGGACCAGCTGGACTCAAAAACAAACAAGCGAATGAGTAAACAACAACAATAAACAAATGTTTTATTATGAAAGACTGTCCGACGCGTCTTTGTTTGACTCGACGCACAACGAAGCGTCAGGAAACGCGTAGAACCTTCCAGAGCTTCTGAAGCAGAACACAGAACAAACATTCTCAGATGTATATAGAAAAACAACAACAATACAGGACGCCGTTTACAAGCACCCTCCCTACACACAGTCATGTGACCTCCACGGTTAACCAGGGTTATCCAAACCTTCACGCCGCACCAGAACGAGAGCTGCAGGTTCCTAAAGTCCGGTTTCACTCTTCAGAGTTCTGAGTCATTTGGTAACTTTAGAGAATCAGGAAACATTTGGTGGATTTATTTGGCTTCTTTGGCTAAAATGCAACATGGCTAAAATGTTCACATGCACAAAATATTCAGTTTCTTTTGTCCATATTTTTGAAAAGACAACAGAATTAAACCCGTAATATTCTACTGACGATAAGAACGTGTTCAGATGATACAACGTGTCCGTAAACACGTAAACATGAACTGCTGCTTCTTTCACTTCCTGTTTGATCCCCTGTGAATCCGGTTTGTCTTCTGAGGAACGTTTTAATCCTCAAATTCAGACAGAGATGAACGTGTGAACAATAAAACACATTCTAAAGGTCTCTTCGTGTTTCCATTTCATCCAGAACCACAAAGACGTCCGTCTGCAGCTTCTGCTTGAGCGGCTCTGTGGACACTCGGACGTCCTTCAGCGCGTCCATGGAGGCAAAGGAGACGTTAAAGGAAACCTGCCATTAGCCACCAGGAGACGGGACACTTTTCCTCTTGGATGGAGGTTTGTGTCCACGCGGAATAAGACGTGAAGAAGGAAAACCAGAGGAAACACCTGGTGAAGGTCGGTCCTGTGCTTATTAAATCAGGTCATCAATGAGAAGCAGCTGATCGCAATAATGAAAACGTCTTCCTCCTCCTCCTCCTCCTCCTCCTCCTCGGTACGCAGGAGACAAAGCTTCAAATAAAGAAACTACGAGACCTGTTCCTCCCCCTCCTTTCCTCACCCCTCCCTCCATCACTCGTACCCCCCCATCACTTGTGCCCCCATCACTCGTCCCTCCCCCCCTCCACCATGCGGTACCGCGGCCTGCAGCAGGAGGGCAGCGTGACCGGCCATGAGAAGGTGATGGGGACGGCCGTGTGGACGTTCCTCTCCAGGAAGTTGAAGACGGGGCTCCACCAGGTCCTCCACAGGAAGCTGCTGGGCGGCTGACGAAGAGCCTGATGAAGAAACGCACCAAGAAATGAACGAACCGAAGGGCAAATGTGGCTTTTACTTCGTGTGGAACCATTAATACGACACTTTTGGTTGGATGCGTTAAACGAGTCACTTTGGGTTGATGAGACATCGGTACATGTATGCCTATATATATATATATATATATATATATATATATATATATATATATATATATATATACACACACACACACACACACACACACCATGTATCTATATCCGTAGATATAAAGTATATATAGAGAAGTAATATTGAAATAAGCCAGTCGGTAAAATCAATCGGTCTGAACGTTCTGTTTTCAGATTCACTGCTATCGATCTTCTTCTTCTTCTATTAATAAGATAATGTATTAATATGTTTTGGGATCATCTACTCATCTCATGTTGCCTTGTAATGTTTAATATCTGGTTTCATTTATTTTTGTACGTCATGTCATTTCATTTTATTCACTGAGTTTTATATGTCATGTAAAAACATTGAATGGATGTTTTCATCAGACTGCTTCCTGTTTGTAGTCATGTGACATACGTCAGGTGGGTTCATCCTCTGGGAACCAAGAACGTCTCCACTCAACGTCCCATTGATGAGCGACGCTTAAACCATCAAACGGCTCTAAACACGATGCTCATTGTCCGCTGTAGTTATTATTTGCAATATTGGAAAATAAAAGAGTATTTTTATTGCACGAGTCTATTGGTCAGTACCTTTAATGCAGCGCGTGTGCACTTACGTGTGTGTCGGCCATGGTGTGGTACCACCAGAAGGTCCGGGTGCTGGCGATGTAGCCGATCACCACGTCCACGCTGTAGTGCTCGTGAGCAACCAGGATGCAGACGACCC